AGAGAAGCAATGTTCGAAATCTTGCGTGTAACAAAGCAGTGCGCGGAGGACGAGTGAGGGTAGGGGACTGCGCGGGGAACGGAGGGAGGGAGGGAGGGTGATGGGCCACGTTCCCGCTTCGAGGGGCGGAGGGGGGCTTACTCGGCAACGCACAGACAGGGGTAGGGGGAGGGGGCCACCCTGCTTCTTCGCGGGCCTTCTCTGTACGCAAGGAGGCCTTCGAAGAAGCAGGGTGCTTCTAAGAAGCCTTCCCCCCTCCCCCTACCCCCTTTTTTTCCGCGCCGCCAACCTACTCCCCCCCGCCCGCCCGCCCCAGAGCAGGAGAGGCACCCGGGACCCAGAGCCAGGTGCGTCGGGCGCGCGCCGCAGGCACGGGGCGCGCCGAGCGCAACGTGTGCGCCGGGCACGCGGGTGGCGCCAGGTGCTCCAGGTGCTGCAGGCGCGCCTCGTCTCGGTGGCGCGCCAAGGGGGGGGGAGGAGGGGAGGCGGGAGGGGAGGCAAGCCCTCTCGGCAGGCGGCGGGGCTTCCCAGCAGCCCTTCGGCCTCGTGAGCGCCCTCCAGCGGCTTCGGAGGAGGCTCGGGCGGCTTCTCAGGAAGGCCAGAGGCCCTCTTCGCCTTTTGGGGAGGCCCGCCCCCGCTGCCTTCCCCCCCGGGCCCGCCGCCGATGGGTGTGCCCGGGGAAGGGAGGCGCAGGGCAATGCTGAGGAGGAAGGCCGTGCGTGTAGGTGCATCGCTGCCTGCTGTCTCGCGCACCGCAGATGCCGAACGGCAGTCGGTTGCCCTGATGCATCCTGCCAACTCTTCTGGAGCGCGACGCCTCGGGCTGCCGGGGGCACGCGTAGGACTGGAGCGCGTGTTCCTCGCGGCACATGTGGCGGCGGGCAGGCGTGGAGATGACGGCAGGATTCTGAAGCTTGTGTTTTGTGCAACCTTGTTCTGGCAGCCACCGTGTTGCGTGAGCTGTCAAGTGTCGAGGAATGTGCGTGTACATGTTCGCCGGGCTCGGGCGCGCTGGCCCGGGGCTTGCTTGTGTTGTGTAACCTTGTTCTGGCATCCACCATGTTTCGTGAGCTGGAAAGTGTCAAGGAACGTGCGTGTACATGTTCGCCGGGCTTGGGCGCGCTGGCCCGGGGCCTTCCCCTGCTCGTCCGAAGTGTCTTCGGACTCAACTTCGGCTGCTCGATTGTCGTGTTGGTTTGAGTCGCTTTGGACTCGATTAGGCGTGCATTTTTCCCGCAGCGGTCCCAGGTCAGCTGTCGTCGGCACGGTGCTACTGAAGAGCGGAAGGTTTCGTGAAAGTTGCTTGCTTCTCCCTCCCTGGGCCCAGAAGCCCCGCTGGTACCACTTGTCGGCGAGGAGTCCCGGGGGGAAGTTGGATGGGGCGGGACTTTTCAGAAGGCTCGGAAGGCCTCCAGCCTTTTGAGCTGTTTTCTAAGCCTTCTCCGAAAACATAACGGCTGCTCACAAGGGCGGAGGGCTTCTGAGAAACCCCGCCGCCCTCTGATGAGGCCTGGTCCCTCTCACTTCCCCCCGGGCTCACCGCCGAACTTGACTGTCGAAGGCGCCCGCATGCGCACGTGACCCTTCGCGGGTATGAGGCTGAGGTTATGTCGGGCGTGTCCCCCTACAGGGGGATTTTCGACGACAAATAATACATACTCCAAGAATACCCCAGAAAGGTTAAAACAAATATTCAAATAATAGTCCCCAGACTATTTTTGGATTATCTTTTTGAATATTTTAGGAGTATTTTTTTCGCCGAAAGCCCCCCTGTAGGGGGACAGGCCCGACTTAAGGCCGAGGCTGCCGTGCTGCGCCAACGAGCCATGCCCTCGAGGCGGGGGGGAGCTGCCTCGGAGACCTCGGGGCTGGCGCGTGCTCTCGGCGTCCTTGCTGCCGAGTCGCTTCCGCACTGGTGGCCCCTGGCCTGCGGCTGCTGCGGCGACGCTTCTGGCACCAAAGTCTTAGGAGATGCGCCGAACTCGGAGGCTCTCCCACACGATTGAGACTCTCCTGGCAGCGGCGGCCCCAAGTCCTGCGGGCAGACTTGGCAGGCCGCCGCTTTTCAGCGGAGCGCTGGCACTGGTACACGATGGAGGCCATGTGGTGCTGGCACGCTTGGCTGCCTTCGACCTTGAAGGGGTTGTTCAGGAACGTACTGGCAGTATACTTCTAAACCAACTCGTGTGCATGCTGGAAGACATGCTGCGATCTGCGCATCCCACTTCATTGCGTAGTGCAAAAGAGACTGACGTGGGAGTTGTAATTATTGGTTTACACGGCTCGCCTTTCGAGATGGTTCGGTATGTAGACTGCTTTAGGCTATTCTCCCACGTCATAAACACCTTCTTTTTTGATATGCGTATGCAGCTTGTAGAACTCTGGCACCTGGTGTTCACACTGGGGGTCCATATTTTGGGTTCTGGATTCCTTTCGGAATTGCGCGCTGGTGGAGCCGCTTTATGCGATTGGTAACACTCCCAGGCCGTCAATCTGCATATTCCAAGCTTTCGCAGCATATTCGTGTACCTATGGCGCTGGCCAGCGATGAAACTTCAGCTTCGGCGGTCTTTCAAGTGTACTTGTTCAGCGAGTTGAAGACTCCCAGCCTCAAGCTGGCGGATTCGCGCAGCGCACATCGAAGTGGGCCTGGCGTTCTTGGAACTCGCCTCACGTGGTCGTTTGATAACTGGCAAGCTGCAGAGACACCCACATGAGGTTGCCACAGTGCAACCAACGATCTCTCCACACTCCTCCAGCAACCGCTACAGCACGGCAGCCCCCGAGGCTTACGGATTCGTCGCAGGACTGGGGCGACGAGAGCTCTCGTGGACAAAGCCGCTGGAGAAGTCCACGGCGAGAGCTGAGATTTGGACGAGAATGGAGTGTGGTATTTCTATGGCATTTGTGGCATACAGCATTTCGTCTTCCCCATCTCCTCGTTACTCTTACAGCTTGACGCAGCTTCCTGGAGTAGTGGGCAGCGGTTGAACAGACGGCGTTCACCATTTTATTTCTTGGACCTCGGTGTTCAATGGCGCCTGAAGTCTTCAGTTTTCCATGCCGACTTGCCCTGCGTTCAAGCAGCTTCTTCGGCTGCCAAGTGCAGGGTGCACCAATGGGATAAGCGCGTTCGTGGAGGCCTCCTCGTCCTCGCGCGGCATCGCCGAATGGGCCAGCTCCTGGTTGACACGGACTTCACCGTCAGGGCAGCGACTCGGCACTCGTGGATCACTGCTAGCTTTTTCGTCAATTCACTGTCGGCAGAATTTGCACGCTACGTGACAGCTTTTGCGGTCAGCAGCGTCCGTCGACGCTATGATGCACGGCGACAGCGTCGGCAGCAAAGATGCTCTTTCGCCATCTACGGCGCTGGTTGGACGAGTTCAATGTCATTCTGTTGCTTGGCCGCCGGCTTGGGAAGGCATTGGCGGCACTGCACGGCTTGTCGCGCATCGTACCGCCGTGGGTTTTGACCAGTGAATTTAAAGCTTTCTGTGAGGGGCGGATTTCCCACAACCGCGTACAGCCTCCGACATTATACATGCTGGTCCTCGAATTGTTGTTTGTAGCTTCGGCCTGCATCTGCTGAGCGGCTGGACAAGTTTCTGGCATTACCGCCACATTGCGGGCTTGCGAGGCGAGCTCTTGCTTTGTGTGCGCTGTGTATGCGGCGGCAAGTGCCGCCTGGCACAGCCGTGCGACATGTGCGGTCGAAGCGTTGGATCCGTTCTCTTGGGAAGCTTGCGCAGCACATGCAGGCCTTGCTGCTCTGACAGCTACTGATTGGCGGTGCTGATTTCCATCCCTCTCTTCCTCCTTGTCGTTTCCTCTGTCGTCCTCGCTGGCATTTTTATACACAATGAGATTGGCGTGTGCCTTCCGCGGGCGCTGTGATAGACCTCGCGACTCGCGACTTACGTACAATACTGAATGGTTGGCCGTCGCTGTGTTCTGTCAGTGCTTCCTCTTTGCCTCCTCTCCTTACTTTTTCTCTTATCTCTGATCTCATGCTATGGATTTGAGTCATTGAGACGTTAGGGTAATTTAATAGGTGCCGTCGCACAACATGTTGGAGCTAAGGGGCGATACGTTTTAAACCCACGTTCGTATCGCTCGCCATCTGGTTTATCGTCTTTGTCTTTCCCCCCCCTCCTCCTCCTCCTCCTCCTCCTCCTCCTCCTCCTCCTCCTCCTTTCTTTGAGTTTTCCTGGTCGTGCAAGTTTGCACAAATGGCCACGGAACTTCCTGTATAAAGGCCCGTCATGTTGCCAGTGTGATTTTATGGTTGGCTTTGTGCACCATAAGGAACGCACCGTTGCGCATGACCGCCACCTTTGATGACCACGCGCTCCTGCTTCTGCTGCATCCTTCCTTCTCGGTTCTCCTTCTGTGCATGCTTGTGCATGTTTGTGCATGTTAGAGATAGACCTCACACTACGTCGTTGCGTCCTTTCTGGACCATGGCCATCGCAAAGCGGCAGTATCGAACACACTGCACACATGTCGGCCGCTCTTGTCGTGCGCGCCGCCCCAGCCTCTCCCCGTCCGCGCTTTGCCCTCGCAGGGCAGAGCTGCCGGTGCCGGTCGGGAGGACGAGGCTCGTGCTGCCGAGGCGAGAGGCCACCGCAGAAGAGCGAAGCAGGCCCAGACGGGAATCACAGGGGATCGTTGTCTTACACATCGGTCGTTGAAAGTAGGTATTTATGGATTTTCAGAACCGAGTCTATTTCAAGCGCCTTCCTACCTCAACAATCGATATGCTTTTGCTGCGTTTTGTTGCTCTGGGTGGGCCCGAACCCAATCTACTTTACCCGCCGTCCTACTTCACGTTTCTACCTACCTCTTCCGACCGATGGGTATTCATTGTGTTGCCGATCGGCGCAGGCCCTCGTACCCTTCCATTCCCCCCTCCCAGGAGTTGATCTTGGTTGTTTTGGGCGCCTGTTTTGGGCAGGTAGGGTCTCCCCCCCTAGGGGTCTGGAGCCAGACCCCCCATCCTTCCGCCCAATGTCGAAACGCCGAATAAGAGAACGCTCACAAGGGGAGGGGGGTCCTCAAAGCCCCCCAGATAAGGTCCGAGTGGATGGGTCGGAAGGTCGCGCCGCATCTCCATTGCATCGCCAGTGCGGCTCGGTGCGGAGCCCGCCTTCTCTTCACGCCAACGGCGCCGATGCACATTCGGCGTCGCCGACGCATCGCCGAATAAGAGAACGCTCACGAAACGTCCCGGAATAAGAGAACGCTCACAAGGGGAGGGGGGTCCTCAAAGCCCCCCAGATAAGGTCCGAGTGGATGGGTCGGAAGGTCGCGCCGCATCTCCATTGCATCGCCAGTGCGGCTCGGTGCGGAGCCCGCCTTCTCTTCACGCCAACGGCGCCGATGCACATTCGGCGTCGCCGACGCATCGCCGATGTATCGGCGATGCATCGGCGATGCGGCGCGATCCTCCGACCCCATCTAATCCGACCCCAGTTGGGAGACCTCCAGGAGTATTTGTAGGCCGCGCGAACGGTTTCAGATCGGTGGAGACGCGAAGCAGATGCGCGCACGAAGTGCACGTGCGCTTCTGGACGGCGTGCTTCTCTGTCTGCCACAGAGGAGCAGGCGTGCAGGAAGTGGTGATGCCTTGGGCCGGGAGCAGAGACGAAGCCCTGCTCTTCGACCTGCCGTTCGTGTCTTCTGTCGTGTGCGCTGAGCAGGAAGACGTGCAGGGATAGGCTGGATCACGCATCGGGCAGCGCGTCCTGCGCTAGATCTCTTCCAGTTTCGGGGATGGACAGGCCTCCTACCCTGACACGTCGATTGAGGAGTTGGCCGTTTTCGATTCGCGAGAGGGCGTCGCGGCCGTCATTTTTGCGGGTCCAGCCAGGTCCGTCGGTTTCGGTCCCAGGCCGTTTTCACTAAAGGGAGGTTCACTAAAGGGAGGTTTGTCCACCGCCGACAGTTGCGCTGCGGCGCTTACCAACCACTGCGCTTGGGGACGTATGATGGCGAGGTGCATTTGATGATCCCCTGGGAGGTATGCCTGAAGGCTGCTACCTGTGCCGCTCACCCCTGCCTCTGCTGTTCCTCCTCTTCTTCCTCCTCCTCCTCCTCCTCCTCCCTCCCTCCCTCCCTCCTCCTCCTCCTCCTCCTCCTCCTCCTCCTCCTCCTCCTCCTCCTCCCTCCCTCCCTCCCTCCCTCCCTTCCTCCTCTTCCTCCTCTTCTTCCTCCTCTTCTTCCTCCTCCCTCCTTCCCTCCCTCCCTCATCGTCTTACTCCTCTCTCAGAAGTTGCTCAGATGTCAGCCCATGCACTTGGAACGTACGTTGGGGGGTGTCAGATCATCGCCCGCGGTGGTGTGGGGGAAGGGGGGAAGCTAGAAGCCTCTGGGACCGAATAATGACGAGGGATCCCTGAGCTGCCCGCGAGATAAAGGAGGAAGTGCAATACTTATGACGATGATGGTTATGATGATGATGCTGATGATGATGATGATGACGATGCTGCTGCTGCTGCTGATGATGATAATGATGCTGACGATGACGATGACGATGATGATGTTGATGTTGATGATGCTGATGATGATGCTGATGAAGATGATGCTGAGGATAATGCGGCCACTGACGATGATGCTGATGATGCTGATGATTATTCTGATGATGATGATGAGGATGGTGATGATGATGACGATGACGATGACGATGACGATGACGATGATGATGATGCTAATGATGATGCTGATGATGATGATGATGATGATGATGAGAAGGAGGAGGAGGAGCAGGAGGAGGGATGAGGAGGAGGAGGAGGAGAAGAGGGAGGATACTGTTTGTTTTTGCTGTGGACCGCTGCCCGCTAAGCATTGGAGAAGTCGAAGGACAGGATCGAAAAGCCTCAGATGAAGACGTGCATGAAGTATGTGAGGAAACATCCCGAGAAGACCCGGGCGAAAACGTATACGGAGATCAGCTCGAAGCCACTCCAGCGCCCGCCTGGTCGTATATGCCCAAGCCGTATGAGCACCTCCAACCTAGCAGGCCCCAGGAAGTCGAAACCCTCCGCGAAGCTCGCGGCAGCACCCTCTGCCAGAAGCTCCGCCGAAGTGCACGCCACCTCAACGCCACCTCACACCCAACTTCACGACTATCGGAAAAAGCTTCTGCACTGGCGCCGATGGGAGTAGCCGCATCCTCATCGGCACTTGCAGGCCGAACTTCGGTATTTGGCTCCTTGTTATTCTTATTTTTCTCTGCGCGCCGAAGTTAGAATCTCCTGCTCCTTTCCCGGGGGGGACGGGCTTCGGGAGGGGGGGGGGGTAGGGCGGAGGGGAGACCCCCTGGTTCTGATCGAAGTCGCCGAGTGCTGGGGGGGCGCCCACCCCGTTTCGAAACGCGCCGCCGAGTGTTCCCAAGGCGAGCGCCCGTGAAACACGCTCTCTCTTTGTTGCCGACATGATGGAACGTCATGATGGTGCCGCTGTCGGCCGCCGAGGTGGCTGATTGGAAGTATATACACA